TCTTCTGTTTATAACTCAAGCCTGATTGTAGTTAATTATATTATCATAAATGGATTTAACGAAATATATTTAAGAAGTGTAGAGATGAGCTCAAAACAGACAGACTTCAATTCATGAATGGACTACGGACCTTACTTGCAAAACTAAAATATTTTCTAAATGCAAAATCTTTACTTAATTCACGAAAGAGTTCTTTGAGGAACAGTAGATTAAATTGATCGGATAATATCAATTATGGATATTAAAATAGACTGCAATCATTTTTGTATATCTACTTGATCTGGTAGAGATTTCTTTCCATATTGTCGATATTTATCACAAGGATAGCTAACAGCATGCAGCAATCTAGTGCAGAAGACCTACTAAAATAGTACTGCGTGTGCTATAATCTACACAGTTGTCTAATTTCCTTTATATAGGTATACGTATGTATAATTTGGGCGACGTCATGTTTAACTGTAAGCGAGTGTCCATAACCTTCTGAAATGCCTCTTTAAAGCTACTTCTATCAGTATACGATACAAACCCTAAATTATTGCTATAGTTACTATAGTAACCAGTTTTTTCCGTCGATCGTCTTCTGCAGCAGTAATACTATGGTACAATATGGTACAACTTAAATTCATGCATACTATTATTTTTATTTGATGCCTAAATCAATAAAACAGACGACTAACTCGTTGGCTGTTTCGTACTTTATTGTACTACTTGCAAAGTACTCCTTGTTAATCAGTGCGTGTATTTAGCATATATATATGCAGTTGGATAGAGCTGTTTAGCCGAGTAGAGTTTTATATCACTTGTCCATCTCTTTTTATCCACTTGCTCCTGTTTGCAATAAGCAGCGCGCAGTCGGATTGATAGGATTAAATCGACGTCACAGTAAAATCATCAAGTTGTTATTAGCCGATTATTAAAACATCCATTGGTAAGTGACCTATTCCGTTTGGGTATCCATCCTTATACGTTGTATTTCAAGTAAAAATAGAAATTAAAGATAGGTAAACGACGCCAACGAAACTATATTGCAAGCATTCTTTCTTATTTTGCACTATCATTGATGTGGTTAGCATTCATTTGCTGTTGTCTATTAGAATAAAACGATTGTTGTTTGATGGTTATTATGATTATGAGTATAATGTATTTGTAAGCTGGAGTGCATTTTGTTAATGTACACGTCAATTAGTCTACTCTTTGGATTTAGTTTGGCATTAGTTGATGTCAGCACACGATTGTCCGATAGCATTGTCTTCAGTAATCACCTACAGAGATTGATTGACTGATTTTCGGATAATCTTCCATGCGGAATTGATAGCGACATTGTAGAAGTTGATTTATTGATGCTTGAAAATTGTGTATAATGGAATAATTAATGTTGTTCTGTTGAACTACGACTGGCACGCAAGTACAACCATTCCGACATACCCTCATTAATTCATAGAGATAATATCGATCCGATGATTAGTAATTAATGGTTGCAACGAAGCTAGATTTGAATCTTATTTATCTCTAACCTGTCGTTCTAGTCTTTAACTAACATACTATTGAATTTAGAGAAGAAAAAGATGGCTGATGATGAATCTGTCTGTTCCACGAGTGTGCTTCCTCACCATACCGGTATACAATCACTGTACGAAAAGGGCAACTCATGCAAGACCGCCTTCCAGTTGGTGGACGGACTTTCTTGTTATACGCAAGCTGTCGATGAGATTGCTTCGTTGTCGAATCCTAGTGCAGATATTGATCGACTTGCATGCGATATTTATCTTGGTCTTTGCGACATTTACACTTTACAATATCAATTCATGAAAGCTGCTGAATGGAGTCAAAAAGGACAAACTGTGGCTACTAACCTGCGAGATGAAGTGAGCATGGCTCAATGTTTACAAAGAGAAAGCGAGATTAAGAGGTGCCAAGGGGATTACAACGGAGCACTGGAAGACGGTAAGAAATCGTTGGAAATGAAATTAAAATGGTTAGACGAAAAGGATGCTCGTCTTGCAGATAGTTATTATCAAATTGGGCGCGTCTACTTCGACTTGTGCAAGCTTGACTTATGTCGGACTATATCGGACAAGTCGCTGCAAATTCGATTGTCAGTCCTTGGTCACAATCATCCCGATGTTGCCAACTCCTATCACAACATAGGAGATGTCTATAGAAGCCTAGGCAAGTACGATCAGGCTCTGGGTATGTATAACAAGTCACTGCAAATTAGATTGTCAATCCTTGGTCACAATCATCCTGATGTTGCCAACTCATATAACAACATAGGAGTTGTCTATGATCACCAAGGCAAGTCAGATCAGGCTCTGGATATATATGACAAGTCACTGCAAATTGGATTGGCAGTCTTAGGTCACAATCATCCCTATGTTGCGAAGTCATATAACAACATAGGAGTTGTCTATCATCGCCAAGGCAAGTACGATCAGGCTCTGGATATGTATCACAAGTCACTGCAAATTGGATTGTCAGTCCTTGGTCACAATCATCCCTATGTTGCCAACTCATATAAAAACATAGGAGTTGTTTATAGAAACCAAGGCAAGAACGAGCAGGCTCTTAATATGTATGACAAGACGCTGCAAATTCGATTGTTAGTCCTTGGTCACAATCATCCCTATGTTGCGAAGACATATGATAAAATAGGAGTTGTCTATAGAAGCCAAGGCAAGTACGATCAGGCTGTGGATTTGCATGACAAGTCATTGCAAATTCGATTGTCAGTCCTTGGTCACAATCATCCCGATGTCGCCAACTCATATAAAAATATAGCAGTTGTTTATCATTGCCAAGGCAAGTACGATCAGGCTGTGGATATGTATAAGAAGTCACTGTATATCGCAGCCTTAAACGGGAATGATCGCCTAGTTACAAGGATAAGAAAGAATATCGAAATCACTCTCCAAAAGCAGAAATCAGTGATCCGTGATCTGTCGACATCAATAGCGAGAAATTTCATCAGAAGTATCGTTGAACTGTTTCAACCTAATCAAACCAGCAATGTTACAGCGCCAGCAAATACTATCGACGGCAGTCAGAACAATCAACACATACAACAGAAAGGTAAGTGGAGTTTTAATACAGTAGTAGACGAGAGAGCGATGGATAACCGTAACCATATTCTGCATTTTGTTGTTCTACAGCTTTACAAGAAAAGAAATATTACAATGCATATAGCAAAGGCTTAAAACATGGTCATTGCTTTAATCATTTAATACGAGGCATGTTTATTGGCCCTCGCAATGTGGGCAAAACTTCTCTTCGAAAAATATTTACTCAGCAACGACTCAACAATCCATCTCCGACACAAGTGGCTGAGAGTTTGGATATTATGGTAGACACTGAATATTATAATATTCATAACTCAGAGTGTTGTGATTGGACTGAAATACTGGACGATAAAGTCAAGACAGTCATACAACAGTTAGCTCAGCCAAGTATCGATCGTCAAGATAACATCAGTCAGCAAGTAACCGACATAGATCCAATAGATCAACCCGTTATAGCCAATAATCCACCTGTGTCAAATTGGCAACAACACAGTGTCGATTCTTCTGCAACTGATGTCATTACGCAAGATGTAGCGCTAGTAGGGAAAGAGATTCCAATAGAATCACAGTCTAAACGAGGCTTGCATCAATATTACTGTTCGTCCATGGAAAGTCAAAATGCAGACAAAGATGATAAAAATCAGTATGTTAAAATATGGGATTTCGCAGGTCATGCCGTCTATCATGTTTCTCATTATCCGTTTATCTCCGTTAATTGTATTTATATTTTAGTATTTAATATTAATCAAGACATTAACGACAAGGTAAGAACAAGGAAGAACCAATCACTCAAAACGACGTATTTACAAGCTATGCAAGAATGGCTTACATCAATCATAGCTGGCCATACAAGCCAAAGTACCATCAATGTTAACATTAAAAGTGGAGATGAACAGCATTTACCACCTTCACAGCATTCATTACCTATTATTATTTTAGTAGCTTCTCATGGCGATTGTATTACCAATGAAGAAGATGGACGAACTCGATTCAATCAATTTGTGTCTACATTGACGTCTCGCATGCCTTCTTATGCCAGTCATATCTATTCTTCTGGTATTATTTTTGATTGCAATCCTCTTGATAGTACTCCATCGACACAGAAGCTGCGTCAACAATGTTGTCTTCGTTTACATGGTATCATTAAGGCATTTGTACAATCACTGCCATTTATTACGAATCCTATACCTATTCGATGGTATATCATGGCTACAATATTAAATAAATCGCTCCCTACTAACAATCAACCCGCATCTTCTATTATGAATCAAATTAGACATTCTCAAGTGCATAATATTATGACAATGCAACAAATAGTAACCTTGTCTCAACAATACGGATTATATGAAAACCGTGATGAATTAATCGCTATGCTAATGTATCTACACGATTTAGGAGAAGTCATCTATTGTGATAAAGTAGGCGACGACGGAATTATTATAACTAATGTCGATTGGTTGTTAAGTATATTTCGTTCCATTATTCAATTACAAGATTTTGTACAAGGAAGTGCACAAATAAAACGTGACTATGATATAGCAAGCCAAACAGGAAAATTATCAAGATCATACATTGATCATGCTATTTATAAATTTAATTTAGATGACAATAGTAAGCAAACTATATTGGCACTCATGCATGCTTATGATATTCTATGTTCAATTACAAATGAGAAGAACGACAACGGCGAAGAATGTCAATACTTTGTTCCATACTTGTTACGATATGATGTTAAGCCATTCGATTTATCAAAATATCATCAATCAGATTGGCTCTACATCGGATACGAGCATACAGATATTCCATATCTTCCAGATGGAATTTATTATTGCTTGTTATCTTCCTGTTTAAAGGAATGGAATAATACGGACGTAGAATTATACTATCAATGTGCCAAATATTATTTAGCAAATGACAATCACTATCTTGTAGTCAGGAAAGAGGAATCTCATATCGGTTTACAATATTGCTATCAGAAAATAAATGAGCTCAAGAGGAGTCAATCGATTATCGATAAAGTTAAAAATTCTATATTTGTCAAACGGCCTCACGAAATTGTCAAGAATAAACTCATCTCCACTGTCAATGATAGGATGGTTAAGTTTAAAGGGGCCGATTGTCGATATTTCGTCAAATGTAGTGAATGTAATACACAAACAAGTATAACGAAGAATCAAGGAAGGAGATCAAAATGA